TACTATTTAAGAAAAATGTGCTTTAAGAGTTTTTTGGTTGGTTGGTTGGTTGGTTGGATTTTTCAAGACAGGATTTCCCTGTGTAGCTCTGGCTGTCCTGGAACTCACTCTATAGACCAGGCTGGTCTCAAACTCACAGAGATCCACCTGCCTCTGCCTCCTGAGTACTGGGATTGAAGGCCTGAGGCACTCTGTCTGGCTGTTTTTAAATTTTGAGAAAATAAAATCAAGTAAGAATATTACCTGGGAGTATTACTGTGTGGTTTAGAGTATCATCCGGTTATGATATTGGCTATGGGATTACCACAGTTGTATTTAAAATACTGTTTTTCTAATGGAATAACCATAAACAAATGATAATTATTTTTGGTATCAAGGAGCTCCTGAAGGCAAGGCTAAAATCAAAATGAGTAGTGACGTGTTAGGAGCGTCAAAGGCCTTGCATGAAGAAGTCACAGGCCCAGAACGTATCTCAGAGATGCCAGAGGCGACACTGCAGCAGCAGCTGCTCTGAACAATACATTGCATGAAAGCTTTAAAATAAGATCAGTAATTACAGTGTTATTAAGAAGTCCTGGGGGCGGGGGGAGAATAGAGACCAGTCAGCTATCAGTGTTTTCCCTAATAATAGTGACCAAGTGTGCAAAGCATAATACTTGATTGAAGAGAAGATACAGAAGTTATTTACAAGAAGCCAGGTGGTGGTGATGTATACCTTTAATCTCAGGACTTGGGAGGCAGAGGCAGGTGGGTCTCTGAGTTCCAGGACAGCCAGGGCTATACAGAGGAACCCTGTCTCAAAACAAAAAACCAAAATCTACACTGAGTAAGGGCTCAGGCTTCCTAAGACCTTTCCAGGCAGGTCCCAGCAAAGCGAGCAGGTTGCATTAGCCATGTCCCAGTGCACAGTGGTGCGCACTGCAGGCAAGGAGAGCCCTGAGAGAAGCCCAGTGCCTGAGGTGTCAGAGTGAGCGAGGAAGTCTGAAGAGCCTGAAGGAGCCTTTCCTCATCCTGAGATCTAAAACCACCATTACTTCACAACGTACCCCTTTCCTAATCTCTCTGCCACCACCACATTCCAGGATCACTGTTTAGCTCAGCAACAGATAGGAAACTCTAGTTAAAAGTCTGCTTTACAAAGTCGAATTACAATAAATTATTGGTATTAATTGTTTTTAAAAAAGCCTCTTATCTGATACCTATAACCTTTCTGATGTTCTGATTTTAACTTTCCACATTCTCTGTGGTAAACACAGTTCTCCAACTTTTTATGATGAAAACTTTGAAAAATACCAAAATTGTAAAAGGATAAAGCGGTGGTGTATATGCCTCTGTGTGTGTTGGCAGAGTGTTTGGAAATTGCATGTCATAACACTGCCCCAGGTGCTTTCCTTAAATGAACAACCTAAGAAGGTAGCGTTCTTTGCAACCATGAAGCCATGTTGTCAGGTACCTGTAATGAGTGCTGTTGCTAACCTTAATGTTTATTTTGTATCTTAAAGAGTTGTAAAATCTTTAATGGGAAGTTACAAATACTGGTCAAGCTCCTTCAAGCTCTGTTTTCCATTCCCATTAACTCTGAGCCAATGCCAAGATATTTCAGTAGATGTTGCCGTGGTAACATGACAAACAAAAGGAAGTAATTGCTACTTCTCATTGGTCTTTTAAATGCATTTGTATGCTGTGGGGGAGGGGCGCATGCATTGGGAGCAGCCTCGAGATCCATCCATCCGTAGGAACTCTGTCTCTTTCTTTAAATGTTTTTAAAAATTAGCTAACTATTGAGACCATGTCTCAAAAGCCAAACCAAAACACCAAAAATTCAATCTGCACATATATAAAAAAGGAGGTAGACAGGGCCTGGAGAGATGACTCAGTGTGAAAGAGCACTGGCTGCTTTTTCAGGGGACTCAGGTTCAATCCCCAACACCCACATGGAGGCTCCTAACTGTTGAGAGGATCCAGTGGCCTCTTCTGATTGCTACAGCCACCAGACACACATGTGAGACACAGACACGTATGCAGGCAAAACATTAATACACTTAAAATAATGGATTAATAATGGATTGGTGTCACATTAAGGAAAGAAGCCAAAGTATTTCCCCTTGTCATTTAATCAAGAATGAACCTAGGGAGGCTGGAGAGATGGCTCCACAGTTCTTGCAGAGGCCCTGCTTTGATTCCTAGCACCCACACAGTGACTCCTATCTGCCTATAACTCCTGTACTAGGGGATCTGGTGCCCTCTTCTGACCTCCACAGGAATCAGTCACACACATGGCAAACAGAATATATGCAGGGTAAAACATTCATATAATAAAAGATAATAGATAACAAAAAAGTTTGCATATATGTGTTTGTCCCTAAAAGGGCTTTGCTTTGCTCTCTCTTTTCTTGAACAATACAGAAAGCATTGCATGTAGAAGAAATAAGACATACTTTTAGAAATAAGTTTTACAAATTATTAATTCATTGACTCCAACTGAGTCAGATGACAAGCATTGTTTGTAATCAAGCAGTAACCAAATACTGTGTTCAATATTATACATGACTGTGTTGAGCTTTTCCAGTAGATATTCATTAGGAGACTGCTGTCCACCTCTGTATTTGTCATAAATATATGCATTACTCTACACATGCATCGCTCTGGGTCCGGGGCCTGAATTCATAGTTTAGGGTCACAGTGGTGTGAGCATAGTGATGTATCGGCTTCGGTTGTAAAAGTTGCTGCCTGGGAAGTCCAGGGCAAGTCAAGTTGGTTGTTACACTGTCCTCCTAAAGGAGGGTTAACCACACAGGCTAGATGCACAGCAGCATCTCAGTTTTAAGTGTCAGTGACAAGTGCTGTATTACTAACTCTGCTTGTGTTCCGGCTCAGCTAACGGTCTAGTCTGGTAGAACGTAAGAGGTGTTTTCATGATACTGCACTGCTAGTCAGTGTGCCGTTCTGAGGATGTTTTTGTGCTCTCCAGTGAATCCAAAGTTTATAAATGAATAATCCTTCATTGTTACAATGCAAAGAATGTCATCACAGTGTAGCAGCTCATATTTCTACAAGGAAGGTCTGGCCATGTCACAGTCGAACTTGATTTGTTGACAACATTCTGTATAGCTCTGTGTTTCACAGTAAAAACTGTGAGATGAGAGCAGCTTGCTTTTTTTTCTTAAGTCTTTAATATGTATTTTATAAGCTTTGTCAAAGGATTTGTCATCTGGTAGGCACATGTGTGTATCTTAAGGTGAGCTGGCAACAGAAGGGTGGCAATGTGATGCTGAAGGCCTGGCAGCTCCTGCTCCAGTTGTGGCTTCTGGGGATTCCAAAGCACTGCCAAGGTGGGAAGGCGTCACAGCAGGGCCTGGGCTGCCCCACAGTCACCTCTCGATGTGCACGTTGTGTTTATTGGTGTGCAGTCATCAGACTGGACTCCTCTGTGAAGGGTTTGCCTCTCTGAAATGACCCTGCTAAATATGCTAATGCGTTTCCTACAGTATTCGCCACTATTCTAACTACTTTGCGCTAGTATAATTACGCAGTAAGCTAAATCGAATGGACGTGTGTGTGTGTGTGTGTGTGTGTGTGTGTGTGTGTGTGTGTGTGTATCATTGCTTTTACAAGTCTCATTAAAAAGGAGAAATTTCAGGTTGATGGAATGACTCAGTGGATGAAGGTGCCTGTCACCACATCAGACAACTTGAATGTTAGCTAGGACCCACATGGTAATAGGAGAGAGTGGACTCCTGTACACTGATTCTGACAGACTACATACACCTTCACACATAATATGTACTTAACATCTAAACAACTGGATGAAGTAGTGTATGCCTTTAGTCCCAGAACCCAGGAGGCAGAGGAAGGTGGATCTCTGAGTTTGAGGCCAGCCTGGTCTACAGAGTGAGTTCTAGAACAGCCAGGGCTACACAGAAAAAACAGAATCTAAAGAAATAGAGGCTTAGTGACTTCAGAGTTAGTAACACACACCTGTAAATCCCAGCACTCAGGATGCTAAAGCAGAATGATAAGTTCAAGGTCAGCCTAAGCTGCAGAGCAAGCCTGTCGGGAGGATAGCTCCAGTGAGAGAGTGCTGGCACAGCACACACAAGGCCCTGTGTTCCAACTCTGTTAGAAAAGATAAAATCAGAAGTAGATGCTTGCCCCACACGTACAAACCCCTTGGTCTGCTCCCCAGCACCGAGGAAGGGAAAAAACTGTAGAAACTTTTAGTTCCATCCTTTCTGATTACTACTAATTTTTTAAAATCATAAATCAGTTTGGACTATACTGTATCATAAGGGCTACAGTGTATCCTAAGAAGGGCTGTACTCTATCATAAGGGCTGATTGTAAGGACTATAGCACCTCTAGACTTGCCGCAGAAGTTTGTACAGGTTGGATACATGGATCCTAACACTGGACCCACTCCCCTATGCCCTTGCAGACATACTGCCTGGTAAAACTAGAAGCAGTATCTCTATATAAACCAAGCTCAGCATGGTGGTGCACACCTTAATCCCAGGATTCAAGACACTGAGGCAGGTAGATCTCTGTGAGTTCAAGGCTGGCCTGGTCTACGTAGACTTCCAGGCCAGCCAAGATACACAGTGGGAAAAAAAAAAAAAAAAAAAAATAAAAAAAAAATATATATATGTATTTTAAGATAAACCAAAGATTGTGGAAATAAGTAATTTCCAGAAGTACTTTAGTTACCATAACTAAGAGAGTTTTGTGGCTTGCCGCTGCCATCTGCTGGTTCAAAACCCTTTGATGTCCAGTAGTTGGCCTGCTCTATTACAAGGAACAAAGGGAATGGGGCCCTTGTGTTGAGAATCTTTTAAACTGTTCTTTGTTGAGCATATGATACCCGACTTTCATGTGGTCCATACATTGTTCCTTAGCAGTCAGTGTGCTTTCAGTGAGAGAGTTGCTGTCTCTCCATCGTTAATGAACTATATACTGTTTGAGTTTCTCATCTAACCCTTCCTTCTTTCTCATTTTGTCCCCTAGTTTAATGGACCGAGAAGTGGCACTGCTCGCTGAGATGGACAAGGTGAAAGCCGAAGCAAGTAAGATGATTGACATTTAGTTAAAGCTGTGACAGAGCCAGGGCGTGGTGGCGCCAGCCTTCGTTCAGTTCTAGCACTTGGAAGACAGAGGCAGGCCAATCTTTGTGAGTTCGAGGCCAGCCTGGTCTACATAGAGAATTAAAAACTGTCAGCCGTACAAATAATAGATTGCTGCCTTTCAGTCAAAACTTAGTGTGAACTTCTACAGTAAGAGTGTATGTACTAAACCCTCAATCAGTAAAACAAAAATGAGTTTATAAATTAGTCAGTCTTGAGCAGTTGTACTGTGCTGACATATTAATTCTTCATAAGAGTCTTTTAAATTTTTTCCCCAAGTTTTTAGCATTCTGAATGTAGAATTTAATTTATAAGAGATTGTATCACGGTGTCTTCATCGACCTTAGGAAAAGGAAGTACTGTAGAGACCTGCGCCTTCTTTTGTTTTGCTTTTCCTGGATTTTTTTTGTTGTTATTATTTTTTGATAAAGCAGTATACCAGGATGGTCAGAGAAGACCTCCCCGTGCTCCTCCCCGTGCTTCTCCAGTTAAGCGTGTGCTCTTACTGTCTCCTGTCTTGGGTTTCTTTTGTTTTTCCATTTTATGATCCTTATTCAGTGTTTGTAATCGGAGTAAGGAAAAGCCGTGAGCTGAGGGTTCAGAAGGCCATGCAGGCCTGCTAAAGTAGATGAGAAAGCGAGTCTTACCTGCGTCATTGTGGCTTTTCGTAGAGAGGCAGACACTGAGTGTGGTTTTGAGTGCAGCTGTGCCGCACAGGTGCGCAGGTCAAGGGAAAGCTTTAAGGAGTTGATTCCTTCCTTCCTCTAGGGGATTTAGGGATTGAACTCAGGTTGTCGGGTGTGTGTGTGATGGTGCTTTACCCCTCTGAGCCATTTCTGTGGTCCAGCGGTTCCAGCAGTTCCAGTGGTGGGTTTATCTTCATGAAATTGAACTTGTGTGGGAAGATTGTTTAACCTACCCTCAAACTAGTAAGAATAGGAATACTTTGTTAAGTTGAGGTGGTAACTCACAAGTCATTGTGCCTGTGACCACAGCCCTGAGGAGAGACCTGAAAACCCTGAGCACAGTGTAGCTTGCTCCATTCTAAGGGAATATTGAGAATACAGCAGAGATGCTGTCTGTTTCTCAGAAATAGATTTCATATGCACTTAAATAGTATATCTTGAAATCTCTAAATTCCCAGCTATAGTCTGTTCTTGTCCTTTGATTCTTTTACAGGATAAAGGTTCAGATAAACTAAAACTAGTAAAAAGGCAGAGTCCTCCTTACTTTAAAAAAAAAGGTGCTTTTTAGAAATATATCTTTTAGGGGCTGGAGCAGTGGGTCAGCAGTTAAGAGCACTGGCTGCTCCTCTGGAGGACCTGGGCTCTATTCCCAACATCCACAGGGCGGCTAAGAACTGCCTGTAACTCCAGTTCTAAGTGATCTGATGCCCTCTTGTGACCTCATGGGCACTAGGCATACACAAGTGAACAGACATACCTTCAGGCAAAACATTCATATACGAATATATAATATGCACACAAGGAAGTGTGCAACTATCTTTTTTAGGGACCTAGGAAGATGGCTCAGCCAGTAAGGTTCTTGCTGCTCTAGCTTGAATATATGTGTTAGAAGCAGGGTGTGCTTGTACTTTTTATCTGTAACTCCAGCCCTGGCGAAGGGGAGACAAGCACCTGACACTTCAGGCTGGCCAGCCTAGCCAGTTAGCAAGGCGGAGATCCAGTGAGAGACAATGTCCTAAGCCGAGAAGTGGAAAGGGGATCAAGAGATGATGGGTGGGATAAAATGCTTGCTTCACAAGCAGGAGGCACTGAGTTCACATCATGGTACCCACATCAAAGCTGAGAGCAGCGGTGGGTCTGTGAGCCTAGAGCTGGACCACGGACAGGTAGGACACAGAGCCCACTGTGCAGTCAGCCTAGCCAAAACATGTCTCTAGGTTTGCCAAGAGACCCTTACATTATCTGTGTTGGAGAACAGCTGAGGAAGACTCCCAGAGTTCTCTGCGTTTGCTCACACACCTATGAGCATGGGCACAGCAGTGCCCCATCACTCAGTTTAGACCAGTTTCACCCAGTTTGGACCAGTTATTAAATTAAAAGCTACAACATTTTACCCAACTTTATTGGTTTTACATCTTTATCTTTGTTCTCTCTGAAATTGCCTGTTCAGTGATGAGATGTAGTCATCCATTAGCTGACAAGAAAGCACACTGTAGCTTATTAACACTTTACTGCCGGGCGGTGGGGGCGCACGCCTTTAATCCCAGCACTTGGGAGGCAGAGGCAGGTGGATTTCTGAGTTCGAGGCCAGCCTGGTCTACAGAGTGAGTTCCAGGACAGCCAGGGCTACACAGAGAAACCCTGTCTCGAAAAAACAAAAAAAAAAAAAAAACAAAAAAAACAAAAAAAAACACTTTACTGGTACTAGCTCATAGGTCCAGATTTCTTTATGCACATTCATAGTTGGTCCTTGTTTTGATACTTTGAAATAGGTTTGTTTTCTTGTTGTATTTTTTATTTGACATGTGAAGAGACTTTCGGGGAAAATGTCTCCTATCCAGTATCTGATCTTCTGGCTTTCTTCCTTTTATTTTTTCTCAAAAAAAAAAAGAAATGTTTTTGGTTTCTTGTTTGTTTGTTTGTTTGTTTGAGACAGGATCTTACTGTGTAATTCTAACTGGCCAGGAACTCTCTTTGTAGACTAGGCTGGCCTCAGACTCATAGAGGATCCACCTGCCTTGCTTCCGAGTGCTGAGAGTAAAGGCATACACCAGCCACATCCAAAATTTATTATTTTATGTTCATGAGCATTTTGTCTGCATGTGTACCATGTGCCCAGAGAGGCCAGAAGAGAGCCTGGGATCTTTGAGCAGTTGTGAGCTGTCATGTGGGTGACAGTCCTCCAGCCTGGTCCTCCGAGCTGTCATGTGGGTGACAGTCCTCCAGCCTGGTCCTCCGAGCTGTCATGTGGGTGACAGTCCTCCAGCCTGGTCCTCTGAGCTGTCATGTGGTAACAGTCTTCCAGCCTGGTCCTCTGAGCTGTCATGTGGGTGACGGTCCTCCAGCCTGATCCTCTGCTCCAGCCAGTGCTCCCAACCTCTAAGCCATTTAACTACACAGCCCTAATTTGGTTTTCTGAGTCATGTGATGTGTATAGAAGTCTTTATTGAGGGCTGAAAAGAGCTCAATGGTTAAGAGCACTAGTTGCTCTTCCAGAGGACCCAGGTTCAGTTCCCAGCACCCACATCATGATGTCTCACAACTACCTGTAACTCTAGTTTCAGGAGATCTAGTTCCCCTTCTGAGGTCTGCAGGTACCGCTTCTGTGTGCTGCATAGGCATACATATAAAATTAAATTTAAAAAATTTTAAATCCTTAAAACATACTTTCTCTATCTTGAAATCTATAATTTTGCACTTATAAAATCCCAGAATACTGGAGGCTGAGAAGAACTGAGGTTGGCGTGATTGGCAGGCGACTTTATCTTGAGAGTAGACCAGGAGAGATCTTTTATAGCTGGTAAGAAAGTCAGTGTTGGACTAAAGAGCTGGCTCAGCACTTACGAGTACTTGATCTTAACCAAAACTAGGATTCAACTTCCAGTGCCCACATGACGGCTCCCAACTGACTGTGCCTCCTGTGCCAGGCGGATGCCATAACCTCTCCTGGTCGCATACATGTGGCCGACATACATACATGTGGGCAAACACTCATACACATGAAAACAAATCTTTTTAAAAAGACAGACAGAATGAATGAAAGTCAAGTGTTGGTCTTCAGAGATAGCTCCATCTCCAGAATCCACATTTTAAAACTGCGGTGTGGGGCATGGACCTACAGTCCCAGTCTTGGGAAGACAGGCAGGCCAGACCCCCTGTCTGTCACCGCTGGCAGCCAGTCTTGCCTCCTTGACTTTCAGGAAAAAAGTAATTGGTATCTGAGGAAAGATACCCAGGGTTATCCTCTGGCCTCCATGTGTGCACTGCACCTGGCTTTCTTAGATTCTGAGGTTTTAGCTCAGATGGTCTTACAAGGAAAGCATGTCATTGGCGAGCTGTCTCACGGTCCTGGGTGTAAAGTTCTGTATGTGTGTCTGTTAGGTATTGAATTTGACTGCATACAATAGAATGACCCAGGAAAATGTATTTCCTATTCTCTTTTGAAAAGGCCCAGAGATAATTAATCCACAGTTAGCAGGGCATTGCCAATGTGATGTTGGGGCCCAGGCCCATCTCCTTTTTAGCCACGCTAACAGTGTGCTCAGGTCAAAAGATCACTAACTCCTAAGGATTCAGTAAGGGAGAGGTAAGCATCACATGATTCTTTAGACTGCTGTAAGCTAGGGCTTCCTGTTAGGCCCACCCTGGGACCTCTGCTCATATCGGAGCTGAATGCTGGGCTGGAGCGCACACCATCTCCTCTGGAGCAAGGCCAGAACTAGGTTTGTACCCAGGAACATTGGTACTCAACATTTTTATTTTGGCTTTATACATTTTGGGTTGATTTCTCAAGATAGAGACTTACTATATAGCTGAGACCAGCCTAGAACTCAGTATGTGGCCCAGGCTAGCCCTAACATCACAGTCCTGCCTCAGCTGTCCAGATGTTCAGATTATAGGCATGAGTCCTCATACCTGGTTAACACTGGGCTTCTGACAGGAAGGAAAGGAGAAGGGTCTTGTTCTCTTTAACAGGCTTTGCCACAGTCCTCTGCTTCAGCTACACAGTGACCCTCTTTATTTTAAATCAGTACATTCCTTTAAAGGGGGCTGGAGAGCTGGGGGCAGCGGTTCAGAGCACTGTTCTCGCAGAGGACCTGCTCCAGTTCCCAGCATGGTGGGTCACAGCTGGCTGTTAATTCCAGTTCCAGGGAATCCAATGCCCTCTTCTGGCCTCTGAGAGTATACACATGGTGCACAGACCTACATGCAGGAAAACACCCATGTTTGTGTGTATAAAATAAAAAGCTAAAGATTACTTACTAAATAAATTGAATAAATACATCCCCAATTCTTATTAGCAGCAACCCCTTCAAAGCATTATGATTAGTCCCTTTGTCTGAAAGGCCACGTCTTCTGAATAATAATGCTCTTGTCAGGCTAGAGATGGCTTGTTGTGTCTTGGGTCCATAAAATAAAGGACGAGACCATGTCCCCTTCCTTTAGATTACATCCATAGAAAAAGAAAAGGAGAATTAAGGGTAAGAATTCTCATTTAGAATAATTGATTGCAGGCTGGAGACATGGCTCAGTGGTTTTGAGCACCAACTGCTCTTCCAGAAGTCCTGAGTTCAATTCCCAGCAACCACTTGGTGGCTCACAACTATCTGTAAGGGAGTTAAATGCCTTACTCTGGTGTGTCTGAAGAGAGCAATGGTGTACTCATATACATAAATAAATACAAACCTTTTTTTTAAAAAAAGTAAGAAAGAAAAAAGAAAGAAAAGAAAAACTGATCCCCAGGTGGTGGTGGTAGTGGTGCACACTTTTAACCCCAATACTTGGGAGGCAGAAGCAGGCAGATCTCTGTGAGTTCTAGGCCGGCCTTGTCTACAGAGTGAGTTCCAGGACAGCCAGGACAATACAGAGAAACCCTGTCTTGAAAAACCAAAACGAAAAAGAAGCAAAAGAAAGAATGAAAGAGAAAAACAGTGATCAAATCTTACAGGACGGAGCTGGGGATACTGGCTTATGTGTGTAATTCCAGTCCTTGGAAGGCTGGGGCAGAAGGATTACTATGCCATCCTGTGTTCCAGAGTGCAGACAAGCTTGGGCTACAGAGTGAGATGCTATCTCAGAGCAGCCTGGCTGGGTGTCAATCCCTAGTCTGGTGCTGAGCTCTCTTGGGTCGTTTGTCTGAGAGCCCTAGCTCGGCTTCTTAGGGATGATTTTTTTTTTAAATTTTTATCTATTATTTGCCATATCTGTAGAAACGGGTGCTTTTTATAAAAAGAAGAATATAAGGGCTTGAATGTCAGCTGGGCAGTGGTGGCGCACGCCTTTAATCCCAGCACTTGGGAGGCAGAGGGAGGCGGATTTCTGAGTTCGAGGCCAGCCTGGTCTACAGAGTGAGTTCCAGGACAGCCAGGGCTACACAGAGAAACCCTGTCTCGAAAAACCAAAAAAAAAAAAAAAAAAAAGAACTTGAATGTCTTTCATAATTGGGGTGTGTCTGTAGAGTATATGGCCGAGTGAGACATGACCAGAAGTTGACAGTGGCTCTGGTAAAGCGAAGATGGTGTCTTAAACTCCGTTTGAGGGAGGGAGAGGTCTGTGCTCTACATGAAGAGAGTATTTGGACTGTGCGTAGGAAGTTGTTCATGCTTCTCTGAGCAGAGGACAACAAAGTCAGACGTAGGAGGGGGGAAACTTCTGCTTTTCATTTTGTTCCTGTTTGTTCTTGATAAAATTTGTGTCACATGTTATACATGTTTCTGTCTTAATTTGTATGCTTCTTGAACAAACTGGGGTGGAGGGTAGGAGAAGAGCGAGAAATGGGAGGTGATTTTATAAGTCCTTGCGGTTCATAAATGTTTGTCTTCTAACCACCTTCAGAGACCCCGCAGCTGCATGAGTGGGCAGCTAGGCCCGTGACTGTCTAATACACACCAAGGCGGGTGTTCTGGACTCCTGACTGCAGCATAGACCTGATGCTCCTCTTTCTTCCGCAGTGGAAATCTTGCTCAGCCGGCAGAAGAAAGCAGAGCTTCTGAAGAAGATGACAGATGTGGCCGTCCGCATGTCAGAGGAGCAGTTGGTTGAACTCAGGGCTGATATCAAGGTGAAACTTCCTTCTTCTCTCATTGACTCTCCAGACCAACCAGCTCAGCGAATCTCCAGGGGTCATGGCCCCACCTAGCATCCCAAACCCATGAGCTTCCCTTCTTTCCCAGCTCGGCCCCTTTCCAGACTTTCCTTTTCTTTAAATGGTTTTGTCATCTATCCAGTTGTCCTGGGAGGAAATCTTAGGAAATGTCTGCATTTCTCCAATTAAGTCTGTCAGGAGACCCTGCCCATCCTTGGACCTGCTGCTGAGTCTTGGTTTTGTTTCCACATGAAGATGAAGCGCCATCACCTGTAGCTTAGCCGTCTGTGGTAGGCTTGGTGGTGTCTCTGTTGTCCTGGTCTTCCCACACTTCAGGACCGTGCTTCGAGCCTGCTCACACTTTAAAGACTATAATCCTTACCACTGACCGCTAGGCTCCATACGCACGGCTCTGACTCCACCCTCGTGCCACCCCAGGCTCCTTTTGTGTTCAGTCATGTTAACAGGCCATTTGCGCACACTCCCTGGCCCTCCTGTTAGTCAGATGCCACATGCTTCCCGCTGTTCCGAGCCACTCTTGGCCTCCCCTCCTCCTGACTCCTGGCTTTCCTAGCACAGTTAGAGTTTTATGTGGCTAATCTGTCTGGCTCACCAGACTGTGATCAGTACTAACTAGTGCCTAGCATACTGCCTCAGAACACGTTTTTTTAACAGCTAGTCAACTCTGGTTTTATAGAGAAATGTTAACAATTTAAGATCTTTATTATATTTTAATCCCCTCATAAACATTCCTGAAGTTTGGCATTCACACCTTTATTGTTTGTTTAAGGCGTTTCTCACTGTAGCCCAGTCTGACCTCAGATTTCAGGTACTCTAGCCTGTGCCTCCTGAGTTTGAGGATTACAAATGTGAGTGCCGTGCTTGGCCTGATGTCTTTAAAACTGTTTTATAAATAATAGTGTTTGGGGGCCTCATATACATAAAATAAAATAAATAAACCTTGAGAGGAGGAAGGAGAAGTGTTTTAGGGGCTGGAGGGTAAGGCTCTGTGGTTAAGAGCACTTGCTGCTTTGCAGAGGAGTCTTCTTGGGCACCAGGCATACATGAGGTATATATACATGCATAGACACACAAGCAAATACTTGTTACATATAAAGGAAACTAAATGAATTGCTCAAAACATTTGTATTTCTGAGAATAAATCTGACCCCAAGAGAAGTTGGATTGTTTGTAGGTTCCCGTGGAAAGTGTGCTCCAAGTCGTTGCTTATGAACAGAAACCTCTTGATAAAGGAGGGGGGGCTTTCTATTCCGAAGCCTTTCACCACCTCTGTTTACGAGCATGGACTTTGCTGTCATCTTTGAGAGGAGTGCTTCCTGTGCAGGCTTACAATGGCCTGTAGAAAGCACAAACATGGGGGTAACGTAACCCAGAACCTTCCAGTTATCATTGGTCAGTGTCCATACAGACCTGCTGAGAGCTTCCTGTCCCTCACTCCTTCCCAGAGAACTGATTAGGGTAAAAGAACCAAAAAGTGCAAATTTAAATGACACTTCCTACTCACCGATAGTCCATTGCGACATTGGATCCTCCTCACCCGGGTGCCAGTCGGTCTCATTCAAGCATTTGGGAGACACCAGAAACCCTTTGTAATTAGATGAGAACTCTGGCTCCCATGGGCTTCCTCTGTTCCCTTCCCAGGAGGCTAAAAGGTTTCTCAAGTACTCCTGCAGGCTGACTAAGAGTCTCATCTGTTTCCTTCCACATTTTAATGCACTGAAGTAGGTGCTGTGCAATTTAAGTGTCTTATTTCCAGATGATTGTACTTCTGTCATTTCTATTATGTCTCTGGCTCAACAAACCCTAGAATTCGTTTCAGAATTAATATGAGACAGAAAGTGCCATTCCAGGAGGCTTGTGTGCTTTCCTAAGCTTCAGTGTGCTCAGAATTTTTAGGATGTCAAATCTCAAGGGTAATTTTTCTCTTCTTTCCCTATTGGTATTTCTGGATGCATTCCTAGAATTCAGATGCATTTGAAGTGGAGTCGACTACCCAGTCAGGAGGTCTGCTCCTGGCAGGAGTTTAATTGGTGCACATTTTCTCTGACCTCTGAACTTGCTTTTTCACCTCCTCATGTGCTGTATGGGTGGGTGGAGGGGTGTTCCCGGCTTGAGACATTGTTTATCTAATAGATCCCCACAGGTGCTTCATTCCTGACATGATCTTGTCAGGAACATACTTTCCAGAGTGTAGTGAGCTTTTGACCCAGTGGGCTAGTCGGCACAGTCTGCTTTTAAAAGGAGTAAATCACTTGCAGCATAAATGTCTCGTTTGCAGAGTTGCCTTTCCACATGAATGATTTTCCATCTCAAGAAATTGCTCCTATTTCAAAGACTCTGAAGTCCTATCTTACAAGGAGACAATATGGCTTTTTCTAAGGAGGCTCCTACTGAAGGACAACAAGCCATCTACCTAATTGGGTCATTGTAGGACCCCTGAATGCTCTGGCTGCCTCTACTGCTTCTGTGTGCAATGTACCCATATGGAGAGGAGTCCAGTAGAGGATGTGATTCTTTGCTATAAATTCTTCTTCCTTCCTTCCTTACCATTTCTTTAGGTTATGCCACTGGGTGTTGGCCATTTATAACATCTCATCAAGCTATGAAGCTTGTCTTTGGGCCCTTTAGAAAACGAGTGTATTTGTCTGATTACTCAGCATTGATAATGGAATGGTCATTTAGCAAACTTTAAAGCAGTAAAAATGAGAAAATTAAAGATAATTCTGTTTCATGTATGTATATGTTTATGTGTTTTCGATTCTGTATGCAATGCTTGTGTTACCAGAACCTTCCTCTCTTTTCCCCAGCACTTTGTTAGTGAGCGTAAATATGATGAAGATCTTGGAAGAGTAGCCCGGTTCACCTGTGATGTGGAGACTCTGAAACAGAGCATTGATGCGTTCGGACAAGGTGAGGGAGGGGGTGAGAGAGTCTAGACCTTAGATGCTGAGGAGACTGTACAGCAGGGCAAGCCCACTTCAGCACTGATATCCTAGACCTTGGTTTATTCCTTCAAGTAGAGATGACAGTTCTTGTCTTGCTAGACACAAAAGAGACTCTGAAGTGATAGCATCACAAGTGGGAAGGAGCTGAGGCTCAGGAGGCAGCTTGGGGGTTGTAAGGACTTGCTGCTCTTCCAAAAGACCAGAGTTCAGTTCCCAGGACCCACATTGGGTAGCTCTGAGCCACGCATACTCCATCCCCAGGCACTTGGTGGGCATGTGCACACACAGAGACACACACATATATATACCAACAAATAAAAATAAGTCAATCTGGGACTGATGAGAGGACTCGGCGATTAAGAGCACGTGTTGCTCTTATAAAGGACCTGGGTTCGGTTCCCAGGACCCACATGGTCGTGCACTACCATCCGTCAACTCCTGTTCCAAGAGAATCATGTCGTCTTTTGACTTCATGGGGACCAGGCACATACATGGTCCACAGATCTACATTCAGGCTAAACACTTACACACTCAAAATAAAAACGATTTTTTTTAAGTGGGGGATAGAGGGCCTCTGAGTGAGAGTTGTAATCTTACATTACTAACAGATGGGGCTCTGAACCTGCTTCCCTCCTCTCAGTGTTGACGCTGGCGCTGTAACATGGTGCTTGCTCCCCTGCACCACAGAACAGGAGAGTGAACTGTGGGCCTCAGAGCAGTGACTGTTAACCCATCACAGTCCAGCCTTGGAGCCAAGAGGACATCTAAGGAGAGCTTTAAGCCATTGATAGCTGACAACATTTGAATTGAAAATAATGCTAGGTTTTGGTTATATTGGTTTACTGAATTTGGGGCTGTTTTAGCAGAAAGAATCTTGGAAAGACACATTTGTTGCAAAGACAGTTCTATTTAAATAACCATATAAATACATTTATATAAATATGGTTGTTTATATATCTATCATTACCTTATGTCACTGCCGTAGGTCACAAGTTCAAGTTCTCCTTAACTGTCCATTTTACCCTTACATCATTTCATTTAAAGAGGACTTGGCAGAGACTTCATTGTTTACATTGTTCTTTGCAAAGTCTGCCCTTCAGGACTGCTGTGGGACATACGCCCTTCCTGTCACTCCCAGGTTTAGTCTACAACCAAGAGTTTAGATAAAGGAAATGCTGAGAAGCCATCAGTGCAGGGGGGGGGGGCATGTTTTGATCTGTTCTCCTCTCTCTAGGAATTTTTTTACAAAGCAGTGGGGTTCAAGAACTTAGTGAAGTAGATTCTCTTCCCACTGGACATGGGTTCTGGACATTACAGTCTGCTGGTCAGGCTCGTGCCACAAGTGCTTTACCCGCTGAGACATCCCTCAAACAGTTCTTTTTCTTAAATTGCTCATCATGAAATGTATCATATAACCACAACATAGTCCTCATGTTTCTGTTTCAGTGTCTCATCCAAAGAACAGCTATTCAACCCGATCTCGATGCAGCTCGGTGGTTCCTGTGTTCTTGAGTGTCCTGGGTGATGGCTCTGCTGCTTCCTCCTCCCCAGATGCCTCTGCTCCCAGCCTTCCAGGTGCTAACAAGAGAAACTGTGCCCCGAGAGAGGCCTCTGCAGCCGTGACGAACTCCAGTGAGCGGCCCTGCCCAGCTCATCGGGAGGTAAGCTGGTTTTAGACTGAGCGTGCCATGGAAGTGTGACGCCAGCTGTTGGCGTTGGAGTGCTTGTAGCCACTGTGTCGCCTTCCTCTCGGCTTTTCTCCATAGCTCTTTTGCATTCATCCTCTCAGTTCCTGAGAAGTTGTTTGAGATGATGTTTTAAACCATCAGCCGACTGAGACTTCCTGTTGCCCAGATGGCTAACTTTGGTTTGTTAGCAGTTTGTTGTGGGTTGTGTTGTCTGGTAATTAGTCACGCTGGGAGCTGTGCACCAATCTCAGGTAGACGAGCTGTCCATGTGCCAGGTTCACTGCCATGCTTCTGAAAGCTGCAGGGCTTAAGAACCCATGAGTAGATCAGGGAGAGAAAGGTGAACCCGGCAGGGTAAGAGAAAAAAGTCTAGAAAGCAGCAGAGAAGCACACAGTCTCTGTCTCTTGGTTTGAAGGAGACACAAACACAAGAGCCATCCAGAGCTGTCCATAATTCTTCAGAACTGAGAGGATTGGCCTGGAAGACAGAAGCCAGTCCTGTAAGCTTCCTGGGTTGAAATGAGAAAGGTGTGCTAACTTACACACGCAGTGCAGCAGACTGCGTGTACTCACTTTTATTGCGCCGTGTGCACACACCTTCCCAGGTGGCTCAGGACTGCTGTGCAGCCATGTGATACAGTACTCATCTGATTTTGTGTTTGTAACTTTCTTCTGTGTTTACTTTCTTCCTGTGGGCATGTAAAGAGACAGAAACTCCTCTTGAGAAGACCTAGGCATGAGAGGCGTGAAGAGATCAGTGGAGGTGTTTTAACTATAATCAAGTGACAGGCTGCACGGGCTGATAGAATTGAATTCCAAGCATGATGGTTCTGCTATCAGAAGATTGCTATAGACCAAACTGAAACAAACCAGGCATTGTCATGACAGCGCACTGTGAACATTGTATTGTTTTTTCACCCTAGGTATATTCAGGCAACAGGAGAGGAGGACAAGGCTACAGGCCACAAAGCCAAAAGACCACCGAGTCCCCAAACCAAGGGCGACATGACAATGTGGGTCGCTACAGAAACAGCTCGTGGTATTCATCTGGGTCCAGGTATCAGGGTGTTCCGCCTCAAGCCCCAGGAAACACTGGCGAGTGGAGCCGCCCTTACTCTGCAGGGACCAATGGAACTGGAGGCAGCTTGGAGCCTAGCCTACCCAAGCCTTCATTCAAAAAGGGGCTCCCACAGCGCAAACCGAGGGCCTCTCAGGCTGACGCTGCAAACTCTTGAAGGGAATTCCAGTTTGCCTCTCTTCTCTCCCATCCAGTTCAACCTAATAACTGGACTTTAGGAAATGTATACTTAGATTTAATAACAAAAAGAAATTTATGCATATCTCTTTGGGCCATCCTAAATATTTTTGATTTCTTCGTATTTTTTTAACGCAAGCTGTTTTCCCTTGGGCTCTGGTTGGTCGTTTTCACCAGGAACCAGGGCAGCTGTTGCCAGTTTTCCCAAAGGTGAGCAGCCCCCTTCCCAGCGCACCTCCACTGCCTACCACAGGCTCTCAGGAGGAGGAGTGGCAGCGCTAGTCCTGCCTCCGCCTCCGGTCCATTCAGAGCAGATGCCACAGGTGCCTGCCAGGTTCCCATGACTTGACAGTTTGCAGTTTGATCGGGGTAGGGATAAGGGATTTTATACAATACCGGGTCAGCCAGAGAAGGGAAATGTGTGTTAGTTCATGAAACAGAGAGAGCCCAGGGGACATCTGAGAACCTGCCTCTGTCTGGAATGTGCCTGAGATCTGACACTCAAGTTGGGGTTCCCGTCCACACTTGGCACCATACCTTAACCCGCAGTTTCTTCCAAATGCCCAAAGCCTTGTTTCCTCTTAACCTTAGGCTGAAACCCGGCCTCAGGAATTCTGTGGGAAAGTAGCATTTTAAGTTTTTTAAAAGAAAAAATGTTTTTCTTTGTTGCAGTGTTTGGAGATTTTTTTTGTTATTGTTGTTCTTCCCTCTTTCCCGAATCCTGTTATGAACCAAATTTATATAATATAATTAGTGTTAATCTAAGGTGTTACTCGTCGTGGTTGTTGCGGTCATCTTTATAAGTGAATAAATAAAGCTAGTGCATCTCGTGACTCCCTTAGCTGCTTCTCTTTAGGCCTGGGGTAGAGCCTCGGACAGCTTGTTCTGAACTCAGACGATGGTGTCTGAGCCCGAGCTCACTTGTCCGCTGCCGCCTTGTTTTAGAACCAAATTAGACCGTGAAAGCCAGGATGAGCAAGTGCAGCTGTTTCTCGTGGGGAGGATCTCCCGATAGGGAATGGTGACTTCAGAGGAGCAGTTAGCACACGAGGAGCACCACACTTCTCCCCCAGGCAGCTGAAGGTCATAGTGGGGCCCGTCTCCCCTGTCCCTTGACAGGGGTAGTGAGTGTAACCATGATGTCGAGCTCTGGCATGTAGCAGGTGGTGCTGGTGCCAGACACGTCTCCTTCCCGCCAGTGTCTGAGATGTAACGGTTCTTCCCTGCGGGATGTTCTCTCCCAAGCGCCGAGTTCTGCTGCCTCAGGGCCTCCTGGCTCGCAGTGGGCCCGAACTGCAGGCTGGAGAAGGAAAGGAGAAGCGGGGAGAAGAGAGGGAAGGAGGCACTGAGACTGAGTTGTACCAAATAAGGCAGCAGTCGCAGTGTGTGGAAGCCATTTTCCAAGGGGCTGAGCACCAAGGGCCTCTGGCAGGGGCTCAGGAGAAAGCCTGCCTTTCCTGATTAATTGCCTTAACTTGACAGGAACTCAGACACTGAAGGGCTAAGAGAGCATCCCTCCCTTTTTTGTCGTCGTCCTCCCCACCCCACTCTCGTTCCTACTTTTAGCCACATTGAAGTTTTACCATTTTGTTTTGTATTTTAGCTTAGGGGTTAAATCCAAGGGCACACATGTAAGCAAGTGTCTAGCATTGAAATCTACCTCCAGCTCCCTCTTACATTTTTCTTGAGACAGAGTCTTCCTATGCTGACCCTGGAAGATCTCAAGCCTGTGCCATGCTCACCTCGGCCTCCTGAGGAGCTGAGATGATAGCCATGCCACCGTGCCTGCTCATTACCTGACCTTTTGAGAAAAAAATGGAGGAATGGCTGTTGGCAAAGTTGCTCTGCAAGTGTACCAACACCAGTTCAAATCCTCAGTCAGACACTGCGGTGCGGCTCTGGAACCCTAGAGCTGGGGAGGCACTGACAGATGGTCCCAGAGTTCTCCTGGCCTGGGATTCTAGCCAGTCAGCAGGCCAGGTTCAGTGAGAGACCCTCTCTCTCAAAAAAAAAAAAAAACAAGGCGGAAGTGCCAGAGACGTGGTTCAGTGGCTAAGACTACCTCTCCAGAGCACCCATGTTGGCTGGTTCACACCCACCTGCAACTCCAGCTCCAGAGAAACCGGCACCTCTTCAGACTCCACAGGCACCTGTGCCCATGTGGTAGAAGACAGGTAGACAATCACTTCTGACGTGAACCTTTCCACATGTACTATATACATACCACACGCACTATACACACCACACACACACACACTATACACATATCACACACACACACACTATACACATACCTCATACACATACTATACACATACCACACATACTATACACATACCACACACA